CCTCCGATATCTTGGGATCCCAAGCCCTAGTGACCATCCCCAAAAACCCTTGTCATATAAATAGAATATTTCCCAATAAGCAATTGCCCAGAGGCGTGTATCTTGGACTGAGATAACCGCAGCATTTCTTGGAACTTCCCAGAAATTCGTATAACAGCTCTTCCTGTTCAGGTTCCATTGGGTTCTCGAGCGGTACTTCTTTTTACCATTGCTGTTCACGGGTGTCTCTTTAATCATTCGCTGTTGTTGCGCTATGTTGTCCCCCAAATAGATACAACAAAAAAAAAGAACAGGCAATTTTTGATAAGCGCGTTGTACTGGGAAGAACAACCAGAACAACAATAAGCCAACGCCCGCACCCACACATGGCGATATAGCCCCCCCCTCTATAGGCAACCTACTTACCTACCTATATGGATCGCAGCTATATTTACATATGTCCGTCGTGGCTGTCGTTGACTTTCGGGGAATAAAACAAACTTCTCTATATCGCCACTCTGCACCTTGCTCACAATACAAATACAAATACAAATATTTTAGCGACAAAAAACAAAAACAAAAAGTAAGGAACGAAAAAACAACGACCTGAAAATGAAAAGTAAAACTTACAAGCCACATATGTCTTATCAAAAGAAGTGAGCAGGGAACAACAATGGGAACATTTCATTGGCTCGAAAGCAAATAGAGCGGGTCTTTTGCCAGCGGTCCACCTTAAACTTACATTTCGATTACAAACGGATGTTCAAACAAGGCGCGACTTCAAAAGACCAATTGGATTTTAAGCTAACCGGAAGTACAGTTGTTAGTTAACTGAGGGTTAGTGTTTAGGATCTTTCTTAATAATTAGATGATTTAATAAAACATTAGATAGTATAGTATTATATTTGTATTTTATTAAAGCCTTAAAATATTTTTAAAATTAACTGGAACTTTAACCTCCAGTTAAATTATATTTTTTATTTAAAGAATCACATTTATAATTATCATCAGCTATAAATAAATATTAATTGCTATGCCCTTTCGGTTGAATGCTCTTCGTTTTTCCCGGTTTTTTTATCCCATATCCCATACCTTGTGCCCATTTCCTTTGGCTTATCAGTCGCCATGTGTGTCCAGCTTTAACACACAGACACTCGCACACGTGGACTATATGTTAATGCCCGATTCCAGGCCGCGACCATATTTGCATATGGCTCATTCACTCAACCTGGCGGGGTAACTGGGTCCGTCTACGGGTCTGTGGTCTCCGGTCTCCGGTCGTCGGTCGTTCGGGGTTCCAGTTCCATTTGTTTGCTCATTTGTTTGTCCAGATATCCAGTCAGTCGCTTACCTTGCCGCCATATGCGGGTGTTATCAGCAGTCAGCGCTAGCTTTTGGCTAACCGCTTCTTCTGCTCGTTTTCTACCCTGAACCCCCGAAAACCCCCCTCTGAAAACGAGGCTCTATTGGGGAAAGGGAAAGGGAAGGGGACAGAACGGAACGGTAGGCAAATAAAACCAAATTTTTGTATGCTAAAACACTTTGCGAAGGCGACCGCTCGAGTTGATAAGGTTCCGATACTCTATATATATACCCTATATATACAATGTTGCGCCCCCGCACAACAGAAATCATTGTGATTGCTATATACAACAGGGGTACAAGTATGTAGTATACCATATACCATATACCATGTTCTGTTTGTTATAGTTTCAGCTGCTAAACACCTTTCCATGTATCCCCGTATCGCTGTGTTGTGTTATCCACACGTAATTTGTTTAAACAAATTAAGTCGGGGGCCGCTTGACTTCAGTTTTTTGAGTTTTTCAGCTGCTGACGTCGCTTTGTCACTGTCAAAAAAAAAAAGAAAGAAAAATAACCGCCTGTTGGACACAACCTCTATATATATATAGATTTACTACTACTAATACTACGCCCCCGTTGACTGTTATCGCCTGCCACAAAATGAATTTGTTTAACCCTCTTTTGTTCAACTTTTAAATGAGTTGGCCAAAAAAGAAACAATACTTCAAAGAAACAAAACAAAAAAAAACGTCTTTAAATATTTACTCAGCATTTTCGGGGCGTTCGTTATTATTATTATGATTATTTCGACGTTGTTTTTTATTTACCCGTCAACGAAGTGGAGCACTTGGTAGTCAATATATAGTTTTTAATTATTTAAAGATTTAATAAATATTTTTGGTAGTTTCCTTAAAGATAGGAAAGTTTTCCACACTTATTTTTCCCCTTTCCCCCGCCAATAGTTGGTCCAGTTTTTGGTGGCTGACGCCATTTTTCATTGGGATCCTGTGTGTCCCGTGTCCTTCGTCCTTCGTCCTGCGAAGGCACCTAAAAACAGCCGACTAGGACGACCATGTGGCGCTCTCTGCCTGGTTTTTATGGCATCCCCCCGAAGATAGAGGCAGGCCACCCATAACCTTTGGGCCATAAAACCGAATCCTTCGAATCCTTCGACTCCTTGTGTCTATATGTTGGTGTGTGTATGGATGGGGGCATAAATTAGCACAATCAACGTATTGTTTGCCACGCCCCCCGCCGCCCAACGCCCCTCTGGGCAGTCAATAACACACGAGAGAGAAAGAGCGTTATAAATAACAAAAATACAAGCAGAAGAAGAAGCCAAAACGAATTTCATATTTTCTTGTCCTGATAATTTGCGCAAAACTTCTATTAATATGTTAATTCTTAATTGTCCTACTTGGCTAGCGCCCCCTTTTTCAGGATATATATAGTCCTTTTCGGGGGGTGAGGTATATTAATGGCCTGCGGCTTGCATTAAATGGCCAGGAGTGCTTTGGGCCAAAGTCACAGCTCGTAAATATTTGACTTAAGCTGCGCGGTTAACAAATCGACGCACTTCAATTTATTTTCTGCGACTGAATTAATTACGCCTATTGCATAAAAGAGGGTAAAAGATGCCAATGACATCACACGACCAGCTAATAAATTGTGATTTCTACAGAAGAAAAAATATAGAAATTTATCAAGAGATCAAAAATGCATATCAAATTAGTTGGTGATTGGAAATGAAAGTGCAGGAGGAAAAGAAATATGAAATATTAATCTCTCTCTATATATACAATATATTGACTATTTGATCTGCTTAAATCGCATTCGATTTGGTCAAAAAAGGGAAAAAAGGCAAAAGGGTTAATGCAATTTATGACTTTTCGGTCTCCGTAAGCTGGCACTTTTATGAAATCTATTTGGCAAGGACTCTGTTGACACTTGTCAGACCAACTGACACGTTTGACAGCTTCACACCCTTTCACCTTTCTCCTTTGGCTGTGATTCTGTTTTCCTGTTTTAACCCCCACCTAACCCCCCGTTAGATGTTATTAACCCTCTTCAGCTGGCGCAATATTGTGCATCATGCTGTCAATAAGTTTTCCCTTTCCCTTTCACAAATAATCCCAACTTGCAGTCTGTTTCTCTGTTTTTGTGCTAATCTGCGAAGCAAACATCTAATCTAATCGCTTAGGCAAATACTCATCATAGGGCAACGCCCCCTAGCCTAACCACGCCCCTTTTTTTGAGGCAGAGAAAAGACAGCAGGTAGAAAAATACCTTTACATTTACCTGTTTCCTTTGTTTTTCCAGCCTGGCCAATCGGCTGGCCGGCCAATCAATAAATAAAACACTAATAATCGGAAAATGCTGGAAAATGAGCGTGTAGACAAAAAGGTCAATCGAACATATTTTTTCTGCCTTTTTTTGGGAAGGAAAATTTGGCAAATATATAATAAAAAAATAGCGCAGCCCACCCATTCAATCAGCAGAAATTACGGGCGTATATCACCCTCATGCGAGAATCGCAACCTCGCAGGACAATCAATTGATAAAAAAAGAAGGACAATTGGAAGGGCGGAGAAATAGAAATAGGGAAAAAATATATCCCCGCTTAGGGCGCATTAGTTATTGTTTTTTTGGACCCGGGCAAATCGCAAATTGGCCGCAATTCGAACTGCCCTACGGAATGGACATAAAAAATACATCACATATCGTGTATATCCTGTATGTCCTGTATATCAAGTGGCAAAGCGACAGGGAGTCAATAATTCATAGATCTATTTCCTAATTGACAACTGTGTGTGGCGGGGATGTCCTGTGTAATTGAGGATGATGTCTTCGATTAAAGAAGCACAATTGATGGGTAAAAAAAATGAGTAATAAATAGTTGGACATATTAAATATATATATTTATTATTTTGTAAATTATAAAAATGTAATAAATAGTGGGATGTATTTAATAAATATATATAATATTTTATAAAGTTCCAAAAATATATATTTTGCTATTAAAAGAGAAAAAGAATATTTCGCTTGACCGAAAACTTGTGCATTTTCGATTTCAACTTTTTCCCTCGAGTGTCCTGCGGCTACAAAAGGTCCCGTCCCCTTGTATTTTTCTCTCACCATTCTGGTCAATCAACTGCTGTCGATGATGGAATCGGAAAACAAAAGTTGAACTGCCTTCGGGGCGCTTAAGTTGTTGTTCAGCCACTGAAACTGAAATGTGGAACATACATTTCGCAGTTGGTGTTGCTAATTTCTGGGCCAGATAAGCCATGACAACCGCAGATACTACATATGGATAGCAAAAAGCAGGCGAATTAATTGCAGAGCTACTGGAATTTATGGTCATGCACACACAACACAATCAATCCACCACCGAAAACCGAAAATCCTGAATTCAGATTCCTTCCACCGGGAAAAAAGCAAACCAAACCAAACCCACACCCACATATGCAAATAAATTCTAGGGCGGTTTGTTTTTATTGCTGTTCCCCCGGCATTTGGCAAATAAATTAAAGTGCACGGAGATTGGCATTCGCACTGGCATATTTACTTAACTGGCCATATGTAAATATAGGGGATTTTCACAGAGCAATTAATGAAGATGGTCCATAAATCCCGGCCAAATAAACTGGGGAACTTTCCTATTTCTGCTATTTTTTGGTATATAAATCTAATAAAGAATTTGCTCTAATTTACAGATTCCGACTCCACAGAGAACGATGCCGTGGCCACACAGGACATCCTCACGTGCGGCGCCTGCCAGAAGGCGTTCGCCCTCTCGGACATTGTCAAGTTCATCCAGCACAAGGTCCTCCAGTGCAACAAGGAGAACTACGGCCAGTGCGCCCAGAACACCCAGAATCCGCAGATGGATCGCGACGCCGAGGAGGGTCGTCCGCTGAGCCTCGTCAATCGCCGCCCCTCGATCTCCGCCCCCATTTCCGGTCGCAAGTCCGGCACATCCGGCGTCGCCCCATCCGCCGCGGCAGCGGTCGCAGCAGCAGCGGCAGCGGCGGCAGCAGCGGCGGCGGCAGCGGCGGCCAGCAGCACGGCCAGCGGCTCCAGGATACACACACCACCACCGAGTCCGGCGGACCTGCTGGCCGACGGAGCCAGCAGCACGCCCAAGCGTCTAGTAGATGGTGAGTCTTTACTAGATTTACTTAAAAACAAGAGAGAACGCTATAGTCGGGTTGGTGTCCCGACTATCTAATACCCGTCACTCCGCTAAAGGGAGTGCGAACGCTGTGTCTGGTTGGTGTCCCGACTAATAATCGTAACTCAGCTAAAGGGAGTGCGAGGGAGATAGATATATGTTGACAATTTATAAATCGTATAACTTTTTAATGAATGGTCCGATTTGAAAAATGTCTTCTACATTTCGATAGGTATAAATATACACAACAAAATTGCATTTATACTTCTCGGAAATCTTTAAAGATGTGGGCGCAGGACCCATTTTAAAATCGTTAGTGGGCGATTGTGGGCGTTAGAGGGGGCGTGGCGCTCGGCTAAAATAAACTTGCGCTGCGTAGGAAGCCAAAGAATATGTGTGGGAAATCTCAACCTTCTAGCTTTTGTAGTTTCTGAGATCTCAGCGTTCATACAGACGGACAGACGGACAGACGGACAGACGGACATGGCTAGATCGACTCGGCTAGTGACCCTGATCAAGAATATATATACTTTATGGGGTCGGAAACGCTTCCTTCTAGCTGTTACATACTTTTGCACGAATCTAGTATACCCTTTTACTCTACGAGTAACGGGTATAAATATATAATTTATAGATTTTTCTGCGTTCAAATATAAATTCACAAATGTTCAGTATTAATTATGGAGTTTAATTTAATATTTATAGATTTTTCCAAGAGGTTTATTATTAAAATAAAATATTAAAAACTAAAAATAAATGTAAATAATTCCAAAAATAAATACACCATAATAAGTATTAAAAATTCTATAAAAAAATCCTAACTTTTAGCACAACTACAAACTGTAGGTTAACTCTAAAATATAATTTTAATTTTCTTTATATTTTATTAAAAACCTAAATTAATTCAGTTAAATATAAAAACCTTTGAAAAATTACAATTGATTTTTTGTTCTTAGATATACAAAAAAAAAAAAAATAAATATAAAAAAAAAGCATTTCAATATTTGCCATAGTATTTATTTATTAATAAAATAAACTAATGTTGTGTCCTTCAGAGAACGACAATACCACGCCCAAGGACAGCGAGACGGGCGCCACCACCCTCGATTCGAATGCCGCCCCCTCCAGTCCGGCGGCCATTGAGCGCCAGTCGTCGGGCGACAGCAGCTGCGAGCTGGAGGAGCAGGCGAAGGTCAAGCAGGAGCCCTACGAGGAGGAGCACCACCACCATCATCACAACGATGAGGTGGAGGAGGAGGACGAGGAGGAGGAGGAGCGGTCACTGGCCAAGCGGCCCAAAATGGAGCTGGTCGATGCCGAGGCCAATACAGTCCACACAGGTGAGCTTCCCAAAAACCTCTTTCCTGATGATTTTTGCCCATCCTGCCCAAATAACATGTCGCATATTTGGGTGGCAAAATTAAAATTCCCTCCAAAGCAAAGAGCGTTGAATAAAAAATGTGTTTGATGTGATGATCGGGCCGCGGGCCCTCGGCGATAAGCTGCAGCTGCATTAAATCCGGGGAAAGGAAAGGAGTGGAAAGGAAAAAAAAGCGGAAGGCAGGGGGAAATCCAATGGGTTGGCTAAGAAAAAATAATAGTAGGGGGGTGGGGGTGAAAAAAGCGCGGACACTGCGGGCTGTGCGAAATGTGGACTCTGGACTCTGCGGACTTCAAAGCGCAGCTCTCAATGGCTGATAAACTGCAGTGGCAGGACGAAAAAGGACACTCGGACAGCGCGACAATCGAAGCCCTCTGCTTTGGCCTTTGACTTTGACATTTCAATGCAAATGATGATGATGACGATGATGATGAAAAGCCAAAGACAGCCGCAGCAAAAACAAAAACAAAGCAAAAAAAAAAAAGGGGGAAGAGAAATCCCTGCAGGACCAAGGACTAAGGGTAAAAGCAGGACAATGACGAAGCTTCGGGGGCAATTTGAATGCCTCAAAAACAGCTAAGGAATGCCAAAAAGGGGGTGAAAGGCCACTTGACTGGACAAAGGGCATCGCACTGGACTTGACACACGCACAAAGGAATATTTTTCGAGGGAAGAACAAAAATAAAAATAAATAAAAAATATAGAAAAATATAAATATAATAAAATACCCCTTTTTTAAAATTTTTATATGAGTTAGCTGAAGGTCGCGTGTCAGTTAGAAAATTGCTAGATCCCCATAACCCTACTTGTAGCTACAAGATACCAGATACAAGCTACACATACGCCATCATTTAACCCTTGAACTTTTGCGCTTTTGACACCGACGAACGGCGAACAACAAAAGTCACTGACAATAAGGCAACAAAAAAAGTTGTTTCGCTCTGACAATGCCAACTGACAACTCGGCGGAGAGAGAGATACACGGAGATATCGAGATACAGATACATCTGGAAATACAGATACACAGATACAGAGCTGCGTTAATTACGCATTGTTTTCTGTTTCTGTTTCTGTTTTTTTTTTCTGTTCTGTACTTTTTACTGCTCGGCTGTCCAACCTAACTCCCTCCTTTCGGCGCATTGTTGGCCATTTGGTAATTATAAATACGCCATGGCAACCAGTCAGCTGAATAAAAGAAAAGAAGCGGCGACAACTGTCAACAAAATGGATATTGTATATGTATATTTGTTGCAAAAAGTGTAAATGCAACATGTCCTTGGCACAGGACTTTTCACCTGTCTGTCAGCCAGCGAGTCGTGTTAATTATCAATTTCGAGGCTCAGCATGTCGCGACCGCAGCGACAATGAAACCCCATCAAGGTTTAAGGGTTAAGGGTTAACTGTGGGCGGTTGGGGGCTTGCTAAGGGTTAAGGGTCAAAGCTCAGACCGCAATTATTGACTCATGCTGGCACTAAGCCAGCAAAAAAAGCGAGAAAAAAAGGAGAGAGTGTAAAAAACTCAACGGTCGAATGGTCGAAATCAATGGCTAATGCCTTTGGCTCATGCAATTCCACGTCCTGTCGAGGATTAGATGTCGCCCCATTGTCCTTTGTCCTTTTGCGGAGCTCCGGAAAAAGAGAAAGAGATCCGGAAAAGGATACAGATACACAAAGCCAGTGGCTTACGATGCTGGATGCTGACAGTTGGCGAGGCTTCGGCTTCAGAGCTGCAACAATTATCCCATTACGCTGTCGCACACACACAACACAACACAACCCTTTCACAAGCTCATCACCACTCGCCACCCGCTGGCCACCCGAAAAATTGCTCATACGCACCGTTGTGCCCAGCCGCACTGCACTTCCGGGCGGTCAATTTGCCATTTCCGGTGCCAGGACATCCGCTGTGCAGAGGGAGAAAAATGCTGAGAAACTGCTAGTATAAAATAGGGATTTTTTTGGGATTAAATAAATAATATTAAATAAAAGGCAGCTGTAAATAAATTATACTAAATATATTTTCCTTAGCTAGAAAAAAACCGAAATTCTGTTAAAATGCGTGTGAAATAACCCTATTTATTTTGGGTTTTATAAAATTATATTAAAAAAAAGAAAGCAGCTGTAAATAAATTAAACTGAATATATTTTTAAAACCATTATTAGCTAGAAAAAAACATCCTTTTGAACCATTTTTTTCTTACGCTGCATCCTAAATAATATTCAAATTTATTTTCCGTGTCGAAACTCGAGGCCTTCGACAGCTGACAGAAAATCAGAACGTGCCAAGCCCGCGCCTTTTGTGTTTTTACCTCTCTTTTTTTCTAACCAAATAATTATTTAGAAGCGCGTGCGCATCGCGAGCTGTGCGATCAAGGATCAGAAGATCAGACAGTGAAATATATAATGCCCGATGTTTTTCGACAACTTTTACCTCTTTTTTTTGTCGTTTCGTTGATCGCACAACCCTTTCCGCGGACAGCATTCAAGGGTTGCTCCGGCTCCTTCGGGGGATGAGGCATTGAAAACGTATTATCTGTCAGATTCATTTGCATTTCCTGTGGCATGCGGGCCGCCGGCGATCCCTGATCTCGGGATCGGGATCCTCAACCTCTATACCTTATAGCATATACCTATAAGCCGCTGGCCGAAGGGTCGCGTTGAAATCATGTTAAACACGACTCACCTTTGACAGCGCCAGGAAGCTGCTTCCTTTCCTTTTTTCGCCCCCTGCTGCCTGCAGAAGTTTAATGCGTGGATTGTCATAAAAAAAAAAAAACAGAAATTGTGTTAAAAAAAAGGAAAAGTGTGGTGTGTCTCGTGCCTTTCCATTTCCACATTCATTTTTATGGATAATTTTTCGGTAAATTTTCATTCCGTGCGTTTTAAAGGCGTCATTTAAATGCAGAGGGCGTCCTCATCTCGGGGGTAGTTCCATATAGTTTCGGTTGGCATTAACACCTTGTTGTCCTCGGTGGCGACATGTGGCCAGGTCCTTCGTCCTGCTTCGTCCTGCTTCGCCTTCTTGGCTTTCAATTTTTATTTATTAGAAAAAAGGAAAAGTGTCTTCTTTGCGCATTTTTCATAAATTTTCCAATTTTACATCTGTTGCGCGGGGCGGTGGCGGCGTCACATGTGTCGCAGGATACGGGATAACAGGATACGCAGGACGCAGGACATTCGGTGGGTGGTTTTTAGGGCTGCCATTTCCGCCATGGCAAATTAACAAATGTCGCGACAAAACCGCAACAAACTAAGGGACATGTGAGTGTATGTGTTTTTGCACTATATGTGTGTGTAATATCCTTCGCTATATTGGCAATCTCCGTCCTGCCGGTCGACATGCGTGTCCTGGCGCATTTTGGCATGCCAACGTGGCTGCAAAATCAATAAATAAATAAATACTGGCTAGGATCCGTGCGCCCCTACCCCTTGCCACGCCCCCTTATTTGGGGGCGCACCGCAAAATGCTCATTAATAATTAATAACGAAATTGCCAGGCAACCTCAATTTGCAGGCGGCCAAAAATGCTAGCTAAGCGCGGGTAATGCAATTTAAAGAGATTTTTAAAGTGTATAAAACTATGCCTAACATTTTTGGCAGGTTGAATGGATTAACCAAACCAGCAAAGCTAGAGGATTCATATTTTTACCAAAAATACTTGATATAGGGTAGATAAGAACTAGGAAATGATAAGCCTTTAAGTCAACTCAATCCGCTTTAAAAAAATATTCTTTATTTTTTATTAATTTTTATTTTTAATTTTTTCCATTTCAGAACCCAGCAACTACACTTGCTCCACGTGCAAAACCCGCTACACCTCCGCCTGGCGCCTCATCCAGCATGTCCAGCACTCGCATGGCGTGAAGATCTACGTGGAGAGTCCCGGCGGTTTGGGATTGGGAGGAGGTGGAGGTGGAGCCACCTTGACGGTGGCCACACCCGCCGCCCTCAACAGCAGCGCTTTGGCCCTGGCCGCCGCCGCCGCTGCCGCAGCTTCCGTTTCCGGTTCCGGCCTGGCGAGTCCACAGCCAGCAGCGGTCAGCCCGACCTCGAATCCCCTGCCCAGTCCCGCAGCAACATCAGCGGGCAAGCGGAGCAGTCCGGTGGCCGCCAGCAACAACAACTCGGTTAGCTCTAGTTGCTCCCAGTCCGCTTCCAATTCGCTGGCCAACAGCAGCAACATCAGCAGCAACACCAGCAGCAACCTAGGCTCACCGCAACAGCAGCAGCAGCAGCAACAGTTGCAGCTGCAGCAGCAACAGCAGCGCGTGCAGCAGCAACAAAGGGAGAACCTGGCCTCCGCCATGGCCGCCGGCATGCGTCACCATCCGCTGCTGCCGCCGCCGGAGGCGATGCACGCCAATCCCTTCCAGCTGCTCCGCATGCCGCTGCCCCCTGGCAATGTAGTTCCTACGGTGGCGCCGCTCTTCGGCCGCCCCTCGCCCGCCGACCACTACCGCATGGAGCAGCTGGTCAGCGAGCAGTTCCGTCACCATGGCTTCAATCTGGCCGCCGCCGCCGCCGCTGCCCAGGCGCAGTTCAATGCGAACGGCGTGCAGTCGGTGGTGGTGGAGCCGAGGCCACCCTCCTCGGCCAGCAGCAGTGGCAGTCAGCGGGGCTCCGTGCCGCCGGCTGCACTGCCTCCGGTTTCCCTGAGCTCCCAGCAGCAATCCCTGCAGCAACCGCAACAGCAGCCGCAACAGCAGACTACGCCCACTCAGCAATCCCAGCAGCAGCAGCAGCAGCAACAGCTGCCCACTGGCTTAGTAGGCGGAGGAGCAGGTGGCTCCTCTTTGAAGCTGGAACCGCAGCAGATGGATTTTTACTCGCAGCGATTGCGTCAGCTTGCGGGCACAACAAGCCCTGGAGCTGGCAGCACTGTTAACTCGAGCTCGCCGAGTCCTCGACAGAAGCAATCGCCGCATTTCGCGAGCCCCTCGCCCTCGCAGCAGCAGCAGCAGCAGTTGCAACAACAGCAGCAGCAACAGCAGCCGCCGCAACAGCGACCCCATTCCCTGACGCCGCCGGAGAAACTGCAGGGTGCCGAGACCAGTTCAGAGAATGGCAGCGGAAACCTTAACCTAATCCTCTCCAGCACTCCGCGTTCCGCCAGCACGCCGCCGTCGAAAACCAGCGATGTTGCGTCGCTGATGCAGGATGCCAGTCCCTTTGCCTGCAGCTACTGCGACAAGAAGTTCCGCTTCGAGAACAACCTGATTATCCACCAGAGGACGCACACCGGCGAGAAGCCGTACAAGTGCACCGCCTGCGACTTTGAGTGCTCGCACATCCAGAAGCTGATGAAGCACATGCGAGTGCATCGCAGTCCGGGCGATGACCAGGATCAGCAGGATGGCAACCAGGATGATGGCAGTAATGCGGATTCTTTGGAAACCAATGAGGCCGAGGACAACGACGAGGATCCCAATCCCGAGGAGTCCGAGGAGGAGATGGGCGACAACGATCTGGATGGCGAGGATGAGGACGAGGACGAGCTGGATGACTGCGAGGAGATGGACTACAAGGCGGAGGATTTGAGTGTGAGCAATCGTCTGGATGGCAAGAGCCAGAGTCCCAAGACCACGAGCTCCGGAGCCACCTCCCTCGTGGGCGAGCTGATGGACAAGTTCGGCCTCTCGAACATTGCCCAGTACAGTGAGGCCTACAAGCAGGCGCTGCAGGAGTCGGGACGCAAGGAGGCAGCCGCTGCCGCCGCCGCAGCCGCCGCTGCCGCTGCTGCAACGGATAATAATAATCGCAATCCGGGGGATAAGATGAATGGCCTGCCGGTGGCCGCTTTGCGGCTGCGCGATGAGTTCGCCAAGAACTGCCAGATGTTCCAGCAGCCGCAGGATGCCAGCGGTGCCGCCTCGCAGGTGCCGCTCTTCAATCCCTTCCCCAATCCCTTCGAGCTGAGCAAGCGGATGAAGATGGACGGCGGCGACTGGTGGGGCATGTCGCAGGCTTTGCATCGTAATGAAGCTCTCTTTGAGAACCTCAAACTGAAACCCTTGGGATTAGGAGGAGCCAACTCCTTGATTCAAGGACCCCTGCTCAAGAAGGAGAGCCGCCAGCGGAACGACACCTGCGAGTTCTGCGGCAAGGTGTTCAAGAACTGCTCCAACCTCACCGTTCACCGGCGCTCGCACACCGGCGAGAAGCCGTACAAGTGCGAGCTCTGCTCCTACGCCTGCGCCCAGAGCTCCAAGCTGACGCGGCACATGAAGACGCACGGCAGGACGGGCAAGGATGTGTACCGCTGCCGCTTCTGCGACATGCCCTTCAGTGTGCCCTCGACGCTGGAGAAGCACATGCGCAAGTGTGTGGTGAATCAGGGCAAGGCAGCAGCGGCCGCAAATGCAGTGGCTGCCGCCCAGGCGGCCCAGGCTGCGGCCCAGCATATCCAGGCAGCCGCCCAGCAGCAGCAGCAGCAGCAGCAACAACAGCAGCAGCAGCAGCAACTGTCGCCCATGGGCGTCGGCGGAGGGGTGGTGGGATATCCGCCGCAGTTCGTGACCGGCGGACACAACCTATCCCTGCCCGGCAGCGTGAGCGGGGACAACGACAGCAACGCCTCCTCCAGCCTCACGGGCGTCCATCCCATTTCGCTGAAGGAGGAGGCATGACTTTTCAGTGGCTTCCCCATGCCGCCGCCACTGCAGCCGCAACAGCAGCCGCAACAGCCGCTGCAGCAGCCGCAACAGCAGACCAGTCGCAGTCGCATCATGTCGCGCATCTTTTAAAGATTTAAAACCCCCCCTGTAAATAGAACGACCCCTTTTTTGTGAAAAAAGCCCCTCCCCCCATCCAGCTCCTTCCAGGCGACGAAAAAAAAATACGACCAGAGGCATTTAATACCAAAGCAATAACCGTTATGTAATATAATTTTAAAGATTTGAAAAAACCAACACACCTTTTTTTTTGTATCTTAAATCTTTAACTAAAACACACACATTTTTTTCCAACATTTTTTTTTCGTGCTTGTAATTTATAAATATACAAAAAAATAGTACATAGTAATATACGTAAAAATACCTATAATAATCGCTTAGTGAGTAAGATTGTGTGGACACACATTTTCCAGTGTATTTTCTAGGACTAAGTGAAAAGCCAGGCGAAGGATTTGTATAGAATGAAAAACCTACTATGACTAAAAGTAAAAAGAAAGCAAAAACAAAAAAAATATGAAAAAATTCCACAAAAATAAGCAAAATTATACTCTAAACTTAAAGGCATTAAACTATAATGAATATTATGAATGAATATTTTTTTCATCGATGTACATTTCTTAGTAAATCTAGATCCCTAGCACTAAAGACGAACACTTGTAAAAATCCCAAACGTAATTCTAATTACTATTATTATCGTATCGTATGTATTCGTTCCATTCGATTTTCCCCCTGATTTATTTCCCCTCCTTTCCTTCCCTTATTTTTTTGCCTAGACATAATTCTATTATTAAATGTAATTTAAATGAAAAAGAAAACGAAAAATAATCAAATTTTTTTACATACATAAATAAATATTAATGTAAAACACAAATTTTTTTTAAACAATTTTAGTCTAAGCTGAAAATGAAAAGGGGAAAATCAAGCATAGAAATTGAGGCAGCAGGCAAATTGAGAGATAAAGTGGAGGCGAAAATGCAAATTTGTACGTAAAACTTCAAGTGAAATATAAGAAATATAAGGAAGCAATTAACGAGAAAATACCGAAACAACAACAAACAAACAAACAAAAGAAAACGACAAAAAACTAGATTTAGAAGACTGAAGAACTGAGAACGAAAATTGTTTTCTTGCTACAAAAAAGAAGAAAGTAAAAAAGACAGAAGGACGAAAAGGGAAAAACGAAAAAGACGATAAATAGAGAGAGCAGGAGAACGGACAATGAATAGGAAGAAAAAGGAGGTAGAAAGGACACAAGAGAGAGTAAATTTTTTTATAAATTGTTTTTTTGCTGTTGATTTTCGTTATTTGATTGAAACTAAAACAAAAGATTGAGATCCAAAAATCCAAAATTTTAATTAATATTTAATTGTTTGTTTTTGTAGTGAAAATACCTTTTTGAGAGCGAAATTAGTTTAAACCTTGTTTTGTTTCGAGTCCCCCGAAAATCGAACACATAAAATCTAAAATCCCACCTGGAAATCCCCCTACTAAAGCAGTTGAATCCCAAAACTGCCTTAATACTGGCGATTTCCTACGTTTTTATCGACGAAGTTTACCGTACATAATTTATGGAATTCGACATGTACTAAATTTAAGAACGAGGTTTTAATATGCATTATGTTTCACATATATAGAACATATATATATAAAGCGAAAACTGAATAAACAAAAATCAATGAAAATTTAAAAAAAACCACACACACGAGTTATGTTTTATTTGGCAATTTTTTTGGTTACTGATTTTATTTTTATTTCTTCCACAAAAACAGAAAAGAGGCGAAACGGATACCGAAACGAAGCAAACTAAAACTATCATTAAATCTTAGAAAATTAATTGTAGCTATAAAACGGAAAACAGAAAAAAGGAAAACTTTATACTTAAACGATTCCGAAACCGAGGACATTGTCTCATTGTCTCATTTGGCCGAGAGCAATAGCAAAGAAAAAGGCGATTTAAGAAAATAAAAAACCAAAAAAACAAAAAAAAATATTTTTCAAATGTGTGTAATTTTTTGAAAGTAACAATAACGAAAATACGAAAAGGAAAACCGAAACAAAAAAACCACAAATTTAAAAATTAATAATTAAAAGATAGTTGTCTGTGTTACGAAAATACAAAAAATATAAAAATACAATTGAAAAACTTACAGACTTTTATTTGCCATAAACTCTTGATCATTTTTTATAGCAAATTGTTTATGGCTCAGCCCAAAAGTAGGCAGCCATAAAAACGGGGCAAACGATCGTGCGGCGCAAAAGTGTTGCCTACATTTGAGGGGTGGTGCAACCAGACGCCAGGTGGCGCCATCAAAAAGGCGAGCGCAAATATAGGGAGGCGAAAAGAGAGCGACAGAGAAAGAGAGCGCCAGCGAATGACCCCCATTGGCCGCCCACCGACGCCCCCCGCTGCCACCACCCCTCGTGACCACTCGACCAGCCAGTGACCAATCCAAGCGCCACTGGCCGCCCCAATTGTCATGTGCGGAAACTTCAATTGGCATCTGGCATATGAAACTGAAACCGAAAACGCAAACGCAAAGGAACACGAAAAGCAAAACGAACCTCACACATGCTACGCCGGCAGCGCTGTCGCCGTCGACAGCGGCAGAGGCAGCGAACCCACCACCCACCCAACGCCCACTGGCCAGTTCAAACCTGCCCGCTGTCCAACATGCTCGACGCCTCCGACACTCCGGTGGTTGCAAACGGACATCGAACGGCGGGTGGGAAAAGTCCTTGAGGGGTGGGTGGTGGTGGGGGGTTAACTTTTCAGCCGGCTAAAAAGCCGGAAAAGCTAGTTTCTCATTTGTATTTGATAAAAACAACTAGACGATATTTCAGGGTCCTGGAACCATAACAAATTAATAAAATCAAAAAAATAATAAAATAATGGTATGACAATCCATATTTGGACCAATACTTCCATTGTTACGGTCAAAAAACTAATTATTTTTTTGTGGAAAATTGGAATCTGGGTTTTTGGTAAAAATTTGATTTTTTTCTTTTTGTTTTTTTGCTGTAACTTGGCTAAAAATAGTCTTACACCAAAAATTCAAACTGTTTTCAATAGATAACAAAATAAGAAATAAATCCATGACACTTTCCGGGTGATATTGGTAAAATAAAATTTTCGCCAATTTTCATTTTTTTTATAAGGGGGTACCTCATGATTTTTTACGAAAAATGGTCAAAAAATAAAATGTCCAGGTTTTAATGCCAATCGCTTGGAAATTTAATAACGAGTTCAGAAAGGTATGACAATCCATATTTGGACCAATACTTCTATTGTTACGGTCAAAAAACTAATTATTTTTTTTGTGGAAAATTGAAATCTGGGTTTTTGGTAAAAATTTGATTTTTTTCTTTTTGTTTTTTTGCTGTAACTTGGCTAAAAATAGTCTTTCACCAAAAATTCAAACTGTTTTAAATAGATAACAAAATAAGAAATAAATCCATGACACTTTCCGGGTGATATTGGAAAAATAAAATTTTCGCCAATTTTCAATTTTTTTATAAGGGGGTACCTCATGATTTTTTACGAAAAATGGTCAAAAAATAAAATGTCCAGGTTTTAATTTCAATCGCTTGGAAATTTAATAACGAGTTCAGAAAGGTATGACAATCCATATTTGGACCAATACTTCTATTGTTACGGTCAAAAAACTAATTATTTTTTTGTGGAAAATTGGAATCTGGGTTTTTGGTAAAAATTAGATTTTTTTCCTTTTGTTTTTTTGCTGTAACTTGGCTAAAAATAGTCTTACACCAAAAATTCAAACTGTTTTAAATAGATAACAAAATAAGAAATAAATCCATGACACTTTCCGGGTGATATTGGAAAAATAAAATTTTCGCCAATTTTCAATTTTTTTATAAGGGGGTACCTCATGATTTTTTACGAAAAATGGTCAAAAAATAAAATGTCCAGGTTTTAATGTCAATCGCTTGGAAATTTAATAACGAGTTCAGAAAGGTATGACAATCCATATTTGGACCAATACTTCTATTGTTACGGTCAAAAAACTAATTATTTTTTTGTGGAAAATTGGAATCTGGGTTTTTGGTAAAAATTAGATTTTTTTTCCTTTTGTTTTTTTGCTGTAACTTGGCTAAAAATAGTCTTACACCAAAAATTCAAACTGTTTTAAATAGATAACAAAATAAGAAATAAATCCATGACACTTTCCGGGTGATATTGGAAAAATAAAATTTTCGCCAATTTTCAATTTTTTTATAAGGGGGTACCTCATGATTTTTTACGAAAAATGGTCAAAAAATAAAATGTCCAGGTTTTAATGTCAATCGCTTGGAAATTTAATAACGAGTTCAGAAAGGTATGACAATCCATATTTGGACCAATACTTCCATTGTTACGGTCAAAATACGGAGCTTTTGGGTGGAAAAAGAGGATTTAAGTTTTTGGTTAAAATATGAATTTGTTGTAGTTCTGAAACTGGTGTAAGGCCTTTGCAAAAGGAAACCGGGCTGGAAAATATGTTATATCCCAAGATAGATTAGTTTTATAACTAGTAGATACTTTCATCCGAAAACTATGAAATAAACAATTTTGTTTTCCTGCAGCTGAAAAATCGTTATTCTCCCGCATCCATTTTCCAGTTCGGACCACAACTATCCACTCTGTTCTGTATGCCTAATAGTCTCTCTATCGGACTGCTTTTTGGTTCGGATAAGTGGCGTGCCGCGCTTGAAGGTGGGCAATTAATAACAGAGCCCTGCCGAATGTGTGGACCCCACTTGGCGCGCATTATTCATTCTCCATTTGCATGGGGTCCTTGGTTTTGGTTCTTGGTCCTTCCCCTCCGTTTCCCCCTCCCCACGAAAAACTCGAAGCGGATACAAGGACTGCGATTCGGTCTGTGGCTTTACTTTCTGGTGGGGGTAAAGGGAAGAGAAGGACTTTTGGGGGGCAAAATAAAGCTGGAAGGATGTGTAGGCGACATTTGTTCGTGCAGCGACTAATTCAAGTATGTGTGTATAATACACATGGCCTTC